AGTTATTTTACTAGTTTCATTGCTTTCTTATTTTTTATGTATTTGGGTTTGGGTTTTTGACTTTTAATAATTTTAATTGGGACTGTCCTTTCCCACCCTCACCCCGTTTACCAAAATAAAATATTTGCCGCGAGTATTTTTTTGAAGGGAGTCCACTTTTCAGCCACTGTTTGTGCGTCCCCATGTCACCCACTTTCCTTGTCCGTACTGTGTGGACGCGGATGTGGTTCCCCCCGCTTGCGGGGGGTCAGGGGGAATCCGCGCCAAGGGAGGACTTGGAAAGTGGGTGAAATGGTGCACAAACAGACTGTTTGAGTGCACCATTTTGAGCCTTCTTTTCAATGCTCCGTCTTACTCGATTTCCACTAACTCGAGGTGAAGAGGTTTATTGAGCAAATAAAAAAACAAGTTTAAAGACAAATAATTTTTTACTTTACCTTTATTTAAAAAAATGGTTTTCGGTTAGAAAAGTGTTAAGACTAATCTACAACAAATTTGATTAGTGTTATTAAAAAATAATTAAAGTTTATAACCTTCATTTATGTTATCAAGATGTTATTTTATTTTTTTAAGTTATCATGATTAAATCTTATATATAAAACTTAAATACATATATTTTCAAAACATGTTATTCGTTTGTATTTTGGCTTCTTTTTGTTATGCAGATACATACGATAATGGTGACATTCCCTTTTTATCTGCAAGATTAAGAATGTCAAGAATTGATAGAGAAAAGAGAACAATGATACCAGGATTTGAAATTTTTTTAGAAACTTTCAGAGATTATATGAAAGATAACATGAGTAAATTGTTAAGATTGAAAGATTTGGAATTTACTTATATACGAGATATTGTATCTTCTGAATTGGCATATGCCATTTATACGTTTGCTCAATGTTATACAAAAGTATTAGATGCGTGTAATCAAGCAAAAGAAAAACCAACTCATTTTAACATGAAAGAACTTGTCAAGGCAATATATAGTTTATTTACAATAAATAACATGGATGTCTTAAAACAAATGGTCAGAGAACAAGAAAACGTTGAAAAAATTTTTACTGATAGAATAACAAACACTGAATACTACAACAAAAAAAATAATTTACAAAACAATATTGATGCTTTTTAAACTCCTGAAAAACTTCTTGGAAAACTATATCTACTTTTAGAACATTTTAAATTAAGTCCAATACTCAGAAAAGGTAAAAATATCCAAAAACTTGTTTCCAAATTGTAACTACTTAAACAGGAGTTGGGTGCTATCAAAAACCAAAGTTAAATTATTTTAATTTAACAACTAAATTATTTTTTGTTTTTTAATTATTCAAAAACAAAAAAGAGTTTTATATGTTTTAAAACGGGTAAACAAACATATGTGAAACGACAAAGAACCAAACAAATGTAACCGAAAAAATAAAACACCAAAAATAAAAGAAAGAACATGTATAAAGAATTGAAAAGGTTGTTTTATTTAAACGGTTACCATTTTTACAGAAGGCTTCTAAATTTTCTTTTTTGTTTGTTAGCAATGGTTTTTTCTAATTTTGTTCATATTTATTATATTATCAAATTAACTCTATTTATTTTTGATGTTAAAAATGATTAATCAAATGGTCTTAATTAAATTTGTGTTATTTTTGTGAGTTGTTTTTTAAGAAATAGTTGTATTAATCATATACTTTTGAAAATATCTCTTGTTGTAAGTAAAAAACGTTTTATTAAAAACTGACAAAAAATAAATAAGGTTTATATAATAAATAACGTTTTTGGGCTGATATAAATTGTTATAATTTAATTAAAAACTATTTAATTTTAATGGTTGTTAACACAATCATTTATTTGTCAATTGTTTTCATTTTTTTAAATTTGTAGTTTAAATTAATTATAATTATTTATGTTTTTTTTTGATAAAGTAATGGAAATGTAATTTCTATTGTAACACACCATTAGCGATTATTATTTTAATGATTATCACTCAATTTTGCAATACGACACTTTTAATATACAAAAACCAATACTATTCATTTAACAACATATAAAACATTACAACAAAATGAAACACTACAAATATTAAGAAATTGATTAGAACAAGAAAGCAAGTGCCAGTGCCAACAGTGCGAAGACCTCAAAGGCGCCACTTGTGATTTTATACGAGTATGTCGATTTATCAACACATTTGTCAAGTTCTGCAATTGTTTCCATATCCTTGTGGCTTCCTGTGCAGTCCGAGTTTCCAAAAGTTTTCAAGACAAGATTCTTTCCATCAATAGCAAATTGCTCAGACTCTTTTGATCCTCTAATGCACTCGCCAGAGTAAAGTGTTTCTCTTGGATTTCCATCTTCATTTGAAATTGAACACGATTTCCCATTGTACGTGTATTGTACAGCAACATAGTCAGGAAGGTTGTATTTGATAACACCTTCTGTTGCAACTTGTGAACTGGATGGGATCCAATTGTTGCAGTCGCTGGAAGTGTATGTGTAGACGTACATCGCATTCAGTTCGTATTTAACATAATTGAATGTTGATTGGTAACACTTCCCAAACTTTTTGATTGCAATTTCACCGTCGTCGTACTTGACCATGTACCTCGCAGACGCAATTGAAACAAGAACAAGAAGAATAGTCAACATGTGTGAATATTCAGTTGTTTTGGTGCTTTTTATGGACAATTTCTTTTTACTTTAAAGGAAAAAATAACAATTTTTAATCCATTGTCATTCCAAATTCGGCGACTTTGGAGACAATTTTTATTCTAATTTCATTGTTTTTTATTTCGTTTTTTGTCGAAATGTTTATTTAAACGGGCAAAGAGATGCAAAACTTTGTCTTTCGTCCTTTTTTGATGAGTGGAACAAATTGTATTTCCCATTTATTTAATAAAAACGCTTTAAAATAGGCATTGGAATTCAAAACATCAAATTATTGTTTTTAAAGTAAACAACAAATTGAACAAACTCAAATTAATTCCACTATTTTCTAAATTCTCAATTTGTTGATTAAAAAACAGTTTTTTTCCGTTGTGTTTTTATTTCGGCGTTTAAGCAATAAATTAACCAAAAATCAATTTAAATTGTTTTGTTTTTGTTTTAAATTGTTTATTTATAAAGTATTCGAACCATCTCAAAAACAATGCCGAGAACTGTCAAAGCTACGACATTTTAAAATCTAAACATGTCAAAATTTTAAAATATATTTTTTAAAGTGTCTTTTTAGTGGAAAGTGCCGCTCTTTTTTAATTTTTCGTCTAATTATTGCAACTTGGAATTTCAGTGAATTTCGCTTTGGAAAATGAACCATTTTAGAATGGTAAATAAAACCATAAAAAATAAAACATCCATTCAATATGTTTTTTTTCCTTTACAATTTGTTCCATACAAGAACAAAAAATAAACACCAAATATGGAAAAAGAAAATGTTGTTTTCATATAAAAAGAACTTAGAACAATAACACACCAATGCTCGCTCTTCTTTTGTTTGTAACTATTGCTTCTGCTCGCTACTTGGTCTTAACTGGTGGTGCAATTCAAAAGCTTGGGAGATGTTATGTTGGCAATGGACTGACATACCAAAAGGTCGAACTGAATGGGTACTTCCTCAACTCTTTCACTTCAAACGATTGTGACAACTGGCTTCCAACTGGTTCGTCGTTGGTTAATTATCCAGTAGTCTACAGTCTCTACGATTACATTGCGGTGAAGTACTCATATGACAAAAAGGGCTGTGAAAATACCGTTGACAAAGCAAAACCCACTGAACAATTATACACAGACGTTTGCACTTCCTTGGGTGTTGGATCTACCAGATATGCCATTGAAGGAAACAAACTCGTTTTGAAAACTTTCACAAATACAGACTGCACAGGAACATTCACTCTGAGTGTCGAAAGTGAAGAACTTGACAAATGTGTTGATAAATCGACATACTCGTACAAAATCACAAGTGGTGCCTTTGAGGTCTTCGCACTGTTGGCACTGGCACTTGCTTTCTTGTTCTAATCAATTTCTTAATATTTGTAGTGTTTCATTTTGTCGCAATGTTTTATATGTTGTTGACATTTATTTAATTATGATTTTATTAAACATTTTAATTCCAAAATATAAAATAAAATAATATTATAATTACAACGTATTATTAACTTCACAAAATCATTAAAAATTGTTATTATAAATATTTGAGAGTGTTAAATACTTTATTTTTATTGTTAATAACGTTCAATAATGTTTGATAAAATTGACTTAACTTTAATATCTCACTTCTTTAAGAATCAACAATTAAAAGTAATATTTAAAAATAATCCGATTTTATTTATTATACACAATACATGTATACAATTTTATATATTATTTATTTTAGGAATACAATTACAGATAATAAAGTAATGTACATTTCAAATTATCACTACAAAAGTTTTATTTAATAAGCGTTAGAAAATTATAAACAATCAAATTTAATTAATTTAAAAATTACCCAATAACATAAGCTAATAATTTTGAGCAAATTATTATTAACTTTACGATACTGTTACTGTTTTAAATAAAACACAAATTTTATTTTTTTGAACTTGATATGATATACAAAATACTTCCCTTGTGGCGGCTCTTTTGAAATGCAAACAGTAAACAAACCAATCGCGCAAACAATAATTTATAGGTTTTCCTTTTTTCTTCAATTTTTGGAAATGTTTTAATTAAAACACTAACGGTTTTTGCTTTTTTATCAACAAAACATTTTTTAGAAAAAAAAATGTTTTATAAAAGAAAAAAAAAGAATTGTAAGGTTAATTCGATATTAAAAAACAATTTATTTTATTCAATAACAAATGTATATTATATAGACTGATATAACAATTTATTAAAAAAAGTCTTTTATTATATCGTTGTATTAATTTAAATCAATTACTGTATTTATCATTATTTAAGTGAAGTTTTTATTGCAAATCTTCTCTTAATCAACAAATACGTTCAATATCTCGTTCTTTTTTCCGATGTCTTGTCTTTTGACGAAAATACAAGACACTACTTGAATTGGTGTCAAGTGTCACACAACCAGCTTTCTCTATACCAAGTGTTATTTTTATATTAAAAAAGTAACACCTCTTCTGTAACATTTCCATTTTTTCCTGTTGATATGGCTGCTTGCACAGCACCATTAGCAATACCTTTTTCTGGATTGATGCTCTTGTTAAGTTCTTTTTCATTGAATTAGTCTTATAATTCAACTATTGGACTATCTTTGGTATTATAGTTGAATCGTATTAATTTTGATGATACCCTTTTAAAAGTAAACAAAAACCTTATTTATGAGCACAATTATTTTATGAAACGAGCAATCATCAAAATTCCTATTGGCAAGTACGAATCATCCGACTTGCAGATAATACAAAAGATTATCACAATCTTCTGTTTATCCAAATTTGTTGTAAACAATTAATTAAATACATATTTTTTGAAAAAATACAGAGAAAAAAACAAAACACATTACAATTAAAGCAATTAATTATTTCTATAAAAAATTGTAAAAAAATCTAATATTTGTAAATAAATGATATTTATTTTATTTAATAAGTTTTCATTTAAGAAAAAAATATGTAATAAAAATTAATTTATATTTTAACATGCAAATGAAATAATACAGATAACCAATAAATTAATTAACACATAATGCAATCTTCATTTTGCTGTTTTGCGTTTGTATGAGTATTAAGATATTTATAACTTAATTTTATGGATTTATGAATAACCAAGTTGAGATTAAAATCGTTCATGGACGAACATTCAATATAACCATTTGCTCCAATCTCTTTTGCCATTTGTAAACCTTGTTCTGTTGTTATTCTTTGATAAACCCCATTTGAATATTTACTTACAATAATTCCAGTTGATTCTCTCAAATCACTTTGGAGGCCGACTAACAATATTGGTATGTCTTGGTTAAAGTGTCTGATTTCTGGCAACCAAAATGTTTTGATGTGTCCAAAAGAGTCCAAATAAACAAGCGAAAAACACAAAATAAAACACGTGGTATTTGGATAGTACAACTTATTTCTTAAAATAGGGTATTCTTCTTGTCCACAAATATCCCACAATTCCACATCAATATGAATGTTGTTGTAAGTCACATTCACAGGATAGTTATCAAATACGTTGGGTATATATTGATTAGGAAAATCACCAGTAACGTACTTGATGATAAAACATGTTACCAACAGTCTCATCCCCATTGACATACAACTTTATTTTTTGTTGTTTCATTGGTTATTTTGATAGTTTTAAAAAAGTAATTAAATTAAAATTTCCCGTTTTAAAAATAGTTAAATAAATAAGTAATATCATTTAATACTTATATGATGTAAAATATTTTAATTAATATGGATTATTTACTGTTATAACTATTTTTAACAATAATAATGATGTTAATGATATTTAATTTAGATCATTGTCAAATATTGAAAATATACACAGTATAATCATTTTGACTATTGAGATTGGTTATTCTTAATTTAAGTCTAATAAATTCAGAATATTTATCTTAAATAAATAAAAATTCCTCTAATAAACACTAACATTATAAACAAACAATTATTAAAAACTGATTTATAAAAACTTGTATTTTTGCTTTTCGTCTCAAAATGCAAGCCATCGAAAACCTTGATAGTATTATATATTATAAAACAAATTAAATAAATAAATATATTATGTTTTCTAATTAATAAATCAACAAAATAATTGTTGTTTTTATAACAAAATTAATAAAAAAGTCTCCTAATACATTAATGTTGTTTATTGTGTTATTCATAGTCAATAAAAATATTACGCAAAAATTGATTACTCAAAACACATTTTTGGTATTTTCCCTTCCTTTTCGAGATTTGTACATCCACAAAAAGCTCCCATACTAACAAAAAATGCATTTGGATTTATTTTCACGTTTCTTATCAAACTGCAATTTAAAAAAGCATGAAACCCGATATAACAGACATCTTCTGGTAATACAAAATTTTCAAGTTTTATGCAGTTTTTGAAACATTCTGATTTGATCATTTTGACACTTTTGGGCAGCTCCACGGTAACAAGTGAAATGCAATTATCAAAAGTGTTATCTTCTAATCTTTCCACAGTACCTTTGATGATCACTGTTGTTATATTAGAGCACTCGGCAAATGCGGATTTACCCAATACAGTTAAACAGTCGAATTCAAACGAATTTTTGAGTTTTGAGCATTTAAAAAACGAATTGTTTCCGATCGAAGTGACTCCTTTTGGTATTTCAAAGTCCTCCAAATTACTACAATTACCAAAACACGAATCTCCAATAGATTTGATTTTATTCGAAGAAATGACTCTGGAAAGTTGTAAACAATACACAAAACAACTTTTTCCAATATTTTCCAGATCTTTAGGCAATATCATTTCCTTTAGTGATTTGCAATATCCAAAAGTCGTGTCGTTAAATGTTTTTATCTTGTTATTTTGGAATTCCACTTCTTTCAGTTGAGTGCATTGCTCAAACGTGTTTATCCCAATGTACTCGACTTCTTTTCCAATTAAAACACTTTCAATTCCTTTACAATTATTAAACGCATAGTCCTCTATTCTTTTAACTTCATTTGGAATTACAACATCATACCTTTTAATTTTTTTATCATTTTTTATTGTATTCGTTTGATCTGTTTCATCTGAAAAATGTGATAGAAGACTTAATTCACCATCTCCATTATAATTGGCATTTCCCCGACACCCAGTGACGGTAACGCATTTGAGAGTTGTACACGACCTAAACGCGCTACGACCAATCGCTTTGAGTGTCTTTGGAAGGACCACCAAACTTAGCGAATCACAACATTCAATACAGCCAGTTTT